ATAAAAATGATTGTGATATTCTCAATTTCCTATGTTTAAAATTTCAAGAACATCTATTTTATACTTTTTTTTTTAATTTTATGACATAATTAATGACTCCTCTTAAAGAACTTCCGCTATTCATAACGTCAAAAACACACTATTGCGACGTCTATCTACCCATCATTTGAAAAATCGTTTTAAAAGTCGGTTATTTAAATACGTAATTAGAATTTTTTAACATGAGATTTCCTAATTTTGTTAATTTTTATAAATTATGTAAAAATAGTTAGTTAAAAATAGTAAATACGCTTTATTTTAATATGTTGCGCGAAGTTTTGCGCAGTGAAAACCCCAGTCGGCCCCCTTAAAAATAGCTCTGTGTTTTTTATTGAAAACAATAAGGCAAATGTTTCAACACATTTTTTAAAAAATATTTAATGATGAATTTTCGCCATCTTCGGGAGACCTTAAATTCTGATATGTGAATCTTCTGAAACTTTAAAAATAATATAAATCAACATATTAAGTAAAAATAATATAAAGCATCATATTAAGTTGGTAAATTTTGTGTTTGTCCAGTGCATTTTCCACGTACAATATCAACCGTTTGTTTCCTTAAAAATGTTAGGATGATGAAGGACCGGTAAACATAGAAACGGTGTTCACTAAAATTGGGATGTCATAAAGTAAACTTATGACAGCGATGGTGGATATGTAGGATATGTTAAGAATCAAATTTGAGTTATTCAAATGTTCAATAAAATATTTGTAGATCTTGGAAACAAACTGGCATTTAAGACCAGAAAACGAGGAGGCTACAAAAGACACGTTCCTTAATCCCAGGGCACTGTCCGTGTCAGGCACCGCTTGAACGAATGGGAAGAAAGGGATGTACGGTCTCGCGCGCGCCTTGCATCTTCTGGTGTCCCCCCACCCACCTCCGTTAGCCCCCCTCCCCCCAAAAAGGTCAGACTAGTGCTTGATAAGATGGCAATGGATCTGTTATTTCTTCTTCTCTCCGGGATGTTGCCTGCCACCCCAGAGTGCACATACTTTACGGTTTGCTTCGAGGGTAACGTTGCTATCAAGTGTTGGGGGAGTGCGAATTCTTTTGGGTTTTTTGAGGCTGAAGGACAGGCTGTCCATGCAGAATTTGAAGTAGGGACGCGTCAGATCATTTTTGATTCTCGGTACCTGACCGTGGTTATCCATGATCAGACACCCTCGCCAAGGTAACAGGACTGTTCAGTTAGTGACTCTACTTACTATGAGTCGTATACAGCCACCCCGTCAAACCTACTACTGCAAACACATATACACATGAGGTAATATCACATCACGCTAAGGAGAGGGACAGTTTTCGGGTGACATCAAAGGAGGGGGATAATTCTTCGAAACTAAGACCTTTGTATTTCCAAGAAATCAAATAATTTAAATTACGTCTCCCTTAGATTGATTGTTGTAAATGACAATTATAAAACTTTATGGTAAATAATAACGTTTGATCCCTAAGGCTGCTTCACTAATATGGACACTTTCACTGGTCAAGGACCAGTTCCATTTTAATATAAGGGTGTTTAATATTTTTTTTAAATTAGATATCCAAATTCTAAGAAATTTCACTATTATTATATAAATAAGTTATACTCTGATGTTTTCAACGTTTAAAAAAAATATTTTTTTTCAAATGATAACATCGTAATTTAGAATTTAAAAGCTATCCATTCCACCCAAAATTGGAATGAGTTATCAATTATTATAGAAAAGATAAAGGCATAGTCTGGCCATTCATTCTCTTTGTGAATGTTTTTTTTTTGGACACGATGCTTGTACTTTTTCTTGACGATTTTGTTTGCATATATACGCCCATGTTCAGTGTAGAGTGGCAGAAGAGGTTGTGAAGTGTAGAGACTTAAGAGAGTTTGATACTGGGAACTTTCCAATGGCAACGTTAAATTTGTAATGACCGGTTAAGAGGAGAGGCAGACCTGCGGGACTACCCGTTACTGGACAGATTTCTAGTAAAAGACCCTCAGGCCAAGTGTGATTCTATAACCTGGAATGCATGGATCACTATACAGATCAGTTTCCGCATTTGCCAGGTAATTTATGATTCTTGTTTTTTCTTCTGTTAAGAACGGTCAGTAGAGTGTTACTCCCTAGATAACCTCCATCCTTCGGCCCATGGAATTAGCAGTAATGACCTTCAGTAATTTTTTAATATAAATTTTTTAAAAAGAAAGATTAATTGTATGTCCCACTTTTCACATGTAAAAAAAGGTTATCTATTATACATATTTACATGTATTTATAAAATTAAAATTGGAAATTGGTTCGGTTTTATTTTCAGTTCCTAAATTATTAATAACCTTGTACGACTCGGACGATTGATTTCTCTGGACGATTTCTCTCTGTTGTGTCAATTTTTGTTATGGAAGTGTTGATTCTTCAACAGAAGATGGCTAATTTAGACGCCTGTTAAATGGTGATTGTCGTCGTCCTAATTGTAAACCAATGGTCAATGAGATGGATAGGAATCCTGTTACATGCCTTTTTTCTTTAAGAAACGTACCACCTGATTAGGCATTGTTGCATGATTATGGGCCTGGTAACAGGTATCCTTGGAGAATTAATGTTCGTTTAATTACATAGTTATAAAACAGTTGTAATTCAAAATTTCACCAAATGAAATTTCATGAATATTGAAGCGACAGGTAAAATTTCAAAAATCTATGCGCTACAACAATGCAATTTTTCATTTCAAAACAATATCTACCTACAGTAACATAAACGCGCAAAAAGTCAAGTGAAGAATGCTTAAATAAATCGTATACTAGATGGATACTTTTCAAGGATCACCAGAAAAACGCTTAATAGTTGCATATTTCTTGGAAAACATGTCAACACCAAATGGTAAACAACAGATACCCGTCGGGGAATAACAGACTCATGTTCACCAGGCACCCTGGGAACAAAACCGACAAGGACTTCAGAAAGAGTTCCCACATAAAAAGCACAAGAACAGTCAAAGGAAAATGTAAATAAAGTTAGAAAAAAACTTCATATAGAGAAAAAAATAGATCAGGCCCCTAGGTTATAAAACTTTTTGGAGTTCAAATTCGTACTCAAACTCAAACTCCGCACTCCAAATTCATATTCGTACTCCAAAGTTGAGATTATAAAAATCTATTATACTCATACTCAAACTCCAACGGAGTACATACCTAAGATTTTTCAAGTATGCTTTGAAGCATTCCCAGAGTCGTACTCAAACAAGCAAACATGGCTGTTCACAGACGATAATTTCGTCTATGACTAATGTTTCAGCAACACAGGCGTCCGCGACTATTCAAAGACAGATCGAATCCTTTGGAAGACTTAGAAGATGATGAAATTTATGATCGCTTTCGGTTATGATTATGTTCATCCTCGGTCTTCTCCCTTACTTGTCCCGGTCAACTAACCGCAACCATCCTTTGCCACCTCAGCTTCAACTTCCTTGTTTGCGAAATTTCGCCACTGGTGCGGTGCATATTCTCATCGGAGAATCTTTGGACATTTCCCGAAGATCAGTAGGAAGGTGCATCCGTGCAGTTGCAGGACATTTGGCGAACCTTGCTCGCAGATACCATCAATAATGAATAATGATGTACCTTCTGCAAAGCGTGACTTCTCTGATGAATAGAAAATGACAGTTCTGCACCATGAGGGACGAGGGACGGATCGAGGGACGCGGTGTAATTTTAGAAAGAGGAAATACCCATCTATTTTTAGATACGCTTAATCAATACAACGTACGCGTTCGGTGTTTTTTTTATGTGGTGGACTTTATTTTTCAACTAGGAAGTGTAAGAAGATCCTCTAGCTTCATAAAAGAAAAAAACACTATTTTTTTTTTAATAATTTAAACATATTGAACAATGAATTATTTCAGTCTGTTGTGCAATACCCCCTCGGTTAAAAATAGCACTAGCGGACTTTCCGGTGAATAAGGATATATGAATCGGGGCATTTAATCCCGACAGTCAGTTACTAGCTGGGCTTTAAAGAGAGCAGACTTATCGTGTTTAACACGTCTATATTAACATATTTGTCCAGGTAAACCTGCGCGCTGATGGAGCGGAACGACGAACACAGGTTTGATGACTGCAGGAAAGCTTTCAAGCAGAAATATCATTTAAATAGACATCAGAGAACCATGCACGGAGCGTCGTATAACTAATGTATGTCCCATATGTCATTCAAAATTCAACAGGAAAGACAACTTTACCCGACATATCAAAACACATGGAGAAAAAAGGAGGGCGGATCAAAAACAAACAAACCACGCTGATAAAACAGACGAAACCCAGTCAGAGATAAAAAGACGGCGATATGAAGAAAATATGTTACAGGATGCAGAAAACAATCCTCCAGATATCCCTATGCAAAGTACAGGGAATGAGATGAGTACAGAGTCTACAGGGAAATGCATCTGATGTACCCAGATTAAACCTTTATTAAATGGGGAAAAATTCTGTCATTCATGCGCTGAGAAAGGTAGAGAATGCCACTGGTGTCATCGCCCTCTACCAGAACGATTTTACAGTCAGCGAACAGATGTATGCGATTCCTGTGTGAATAGACGACATAGATGGAGTACACAATCTGGTGCTGGAAGCAAGCAAGCATTAAAAGGAGGGGTGGAAACGAAAGTGCTGGAACCAAACCCGGGTAATCTGTGGGACATTCTTCAATGTTTCAAAGACAACAGTGACCCAATCAAATATCTTCTTCATACAACCCTGTGGTGAAAACGAGGTATCAAATGGTTTTTGACTTTGTATGTCAAATTTGTCAAATACAATGAAAACAATGAGGCTGTCTATGCTGAGCCAACCTTTAGATCTATCAATTTTACACTGGCAAATGGTGCAGAAATCAAAGAGCAGCTGGCTAAAGCTTACAAAAATTTGTATATTAGTTATCAAAATTTTGAAAGGAACGGCAGTGGATGGTCTATTGATCAGATTTTAAAAATGGAGGTTAACACTGCAGAGTACGCCCCTTTATCTGGTAGCAGTTATCTTCCCATGCCACCCAAAATTGCAAAGAAAAAGGCTGTACTGAACATAGAAAATGTAGATCAAAAATGTTTTCTTTGGTCGATTTTAGCCTCTCTTCATCCTATTGGTAGATTAGATCACCCAGCACGCGTGTCAAATTACACGAAGTATGAGTATGAACTGAATACTGAAGGATTAGACTTCCCTTTACCTTTGTCTCAAATTAATCGATTTGAAAAGAAAAACAACATATCAGTCAATGTGTTTGGATTTGAGAAAAATGAAATTTCCCCCCTTCACATAACAGAAGCAAGAAATACGTTCCACCATGTCAATTTGCTTCTTTTCTCAAAGGGTGAAACAAGACATTATTGTCTTATCAGAAACATGAGCAGGCTAATGGGGGACAGAACAAGCCATGATGGAGAAACGTTCTATTGTAATTTCTGTCTACATGGGTTTACAAGACAGGATTTATTAAATGAGCATGTTCCATATTGCTCTCCTCACGGTCCTCAAAGATTAACGTTCCCAAAATCAGAACATGATCAATGGGTGCAATTCAAGCATGTTAATAAACAATTGAAGGTACCCTTTGTCATTTATCTCGACTTGGAAAGTTTAACTATTCCTATTCAATCTTGTAGTCCTAGTCAAACTCATTCCTCAACAACTCCCTATCAAAAGCACGAACCCTGTGGATTTTGCTATTACGTGAAATGTTCTGATGATAGTAAATCAAAACCTGCTTATCTATATAGGGGTGCCAATGCTATGGATCACCTCTTTGAATGTTTGATCAAAGAGGAAGAGGAAATCTGTAAGATACTCTCACAAAGTATACCCATGTCCATCTCAGCAGAAGAAGAAAATTCTTTCAAAAACGCCACTGATTGTCACATTTGTGAACAACCTCTAGGGGTGGATAGGGTAAGGGATCATGATCATTTAACGGGCAAGTACAGAGGTGCTGCACTTAACCAGTGTAGCTTGCAGCTCCAATTTAGGAAAGAAAACAGGGATTTCTACATTCCTGTTATCGCACACAACAGCCGCAATTACGACCTTCACCACATGATGAGTGCCATTGGAAAATTAAAGGATAAGAAAATATCTTGTATTCCAAACAATATGAAGAAATACATAAGTTTTTCACTCGATAATTTACGTTTCATTGATTCACTACAATTTCTGAATGCTTCACTAGACACTTTAGTAACAAATTTAGCCAAAGAAGGGGGATCGAGATTTCAAAATCTATCACGACATTTTCCATCTGAAGTTGAGAGAGACCTCTTACTACGGAAAGGGGTTTATCCCTATGACTTCATGTCCTCTTGGGATCGATTTTACGACCAAGAGTTACCTCCCTTCACAGCATTTTACAACAAACTGTCCGAATCCGATATTTCTGTGAGTGACTATGTTCACGCTGAAAAGACATGGAAAACCTTTAACATGACAAACATGGGGGATTACCATGATTTATACTTAAAAACGGATGTCTTACTACTCTCTGATGTATTTGAGAATTTTAGAGACCTATGTCTGGATGCATATCATCTAGATCCTGCTCATTTCTTTACTTCACCTGGTCTTGCATGGGAGGCCATGTTGAAAATGATAAAAGTTAAGTTGCAGCTCTTTGACGAAATCGATATGATCTTGATGATAGAGCAGGGAATTAGGGGAGGGGTGTCTATGATCTCGAAGAAATATGCCAAAGCCAACAACCCAATGGTCTCTGATTTTGATCCCTCAAAACCGAAAACTTGGCTTACTTATCTAGACATGCATAACCTTTACGGTACAAGTATGTCAATGCCCCTGCCCGAGAGGGACTTTGCCTGGTGCACTCCAGAACAAATAGATAGTTTAAATGTCATGAATATCTCAGATGACTCGGACAACGGGTATATATTAGAAGTGGATCTAAAATATCCAGATTCCCTACATGATGAACATAGTGATTATCCTCTTGCTCCTGAAAACAATACAATTACAGATGATATGTTGTCTCCTCATAGTTTGATGCTCAAAGAAAAGTTAGACATCAAAGGAAGTGCCCCAAAACTTGTGCCTAACCTCAGTGATAAAGGAAAGTACGTTCTTCATTATCGAAATCTAAAATACTATTTGTCAAAAGGCCTTGTATTATCCAAAATCCACAGGGTTCTAGAATTTACTCAGTCTCCTTGGTTGAAATCATACATTGATTTTAATACACATAGGAGGTCTCAGGCTACAACAGATTTCAAAAAAGATTTTTATAAGCTCATGAATAATTATGTCTTTGGGAAAACCATGGAGAACATGAGAAAGAGAGTGAATGTGGAACTGGTGCACACCAAAAAGAGATTACGTAAAGTATGTGCGAAGCCCAACTTTCAGTCTTTTAAGATCTTCAATGAAGACCTAGTAGCTGTCAATCTTAGGAAAAACAACATTGTTCTCAATCGCCCCATATATGCTGGGTTTTGTATTCTTGACCTCGCTAAGCTGCTCATGTTCGAGTTTCACTATGACTTTGTAAAATCTACCTACGGGGAAAAGGCTAGTCTTCTGTTTACAGATACGGATAGCCTTTGCTATGAAATCCAAACAGAAGACTTTTATCAAGATATATTTACTAATAAAACTTTTTTGACACCAGTAACTTTGAGAAAACCCACTTTCTTTTCTCCAAAACAAACTGTAAGGTTCTCGGTAAAATGAAGGATGAGTGCGGAGGGAAACCGATAGAAGAATTCATTGGTCTCAGACCTAAGATGTACAGTCTGTTGTATGATGGCATAGAGAAGAAGACGGCTAAAGGAGTCAAAAAATCTGTAATCGACAGACACTTAAAACATCAGGCTTACGAGCAAGCCCTTTTTTATCATTGCTCCATGCGTCATTCAATGAACTTGATCAGAAGTTACAACCATCAGCTGTTTTCTGTATCTGTATGTAAAACAACACTAAGTCCATACGATGACAAACGGTTCGTTCTGGATTCTGGTATACACACCTTCGCTCATGGTCATTACAAAATCACACCATTTGATACTCATGCGTAAGACCATGAATACTGTAAATAGTATATACATGTATAACAAGACAATTCTTATTTTGTCAGATTTATTGATTTTAATATACATTTTTGTGTGTGATTCATTTTGTTACACAATATGTAAATACATTTATCATCATTTAACATGTCAATTTGATAATAAAGAATTGAACTTAAACAAGGACTTTGTTTTCTTGTTTCATAATGTAAAATCACTTGTATAAATTATTCATCCATTTCCTCGTCGCTAGACTCTTCCTCGGTATTGTCCTGGTAATTACTATCATCGGCCTCCAACAGCTGATCAAACTCTTGTCTATATTTATTTAGAACACGGGAAACGGCCCTTTCCAGATCTATATCCTTTTCCTCCATGAGGGTTGATACTTCTTTGTTGATGTCGCGGTGAAGCTTGCTTCGATTCAATTTCGCAAAAATTAAAAGAATTCTTTTATACTTCTTAAGGAACAAGTTTCTGTCTTTGGGTAACATCATTTCACTTACTTACTCTCGAGCTTCCGTTTTGGAGAGGTTTGAATTTTCTTCCATGAGCTGATCATATTTTTTGTCAAACTGAGATTGATTTTCCTCCAATACTTCATTGACGAGGGAAGAGAATCCTCTGTCGTCATCCTCTTCACTGACGTCAGACATGGTATCGTTTTCGTCTGAATTATCTTCCATTGGACAACCATTTTTAACATGACGCTGTAAATCATAAGACCTGGCGTACATGGTTCCGCAATCGGCACACGATGGGTATTTCTCATCAAAATGTACATTTCTCGTATTTAGTTGCGATGGCCAAGGATAGGTTCTCAGATTATCAGAAGATCCTATCGGTTTTCTTTCATAATACGACAAACCGTTATTATCATAATCCTGGATTGGTTTCTGGTAAGCCATCTCCTCACTTTGATAGTCCGTGTTAAGAGTTTTGTAGTAAGACGAGTCGCCTGGAGACATCTCTGTTTGATGCTCTGCAGTCAAATGATGTCCCGAGTTTTCTCGCGCTCTTATATAGGGTTTGAATATATCCGCCTGAAATCGCTTTGATTCCGGGGTCCTTTGCTTTAAATCTAACACAAGTGCTCTGTAGGGAACTGACACTGCTTTTTCATAAACGTCTAGAAGCTTCTGGGCGTTTCCAGGGTACATCTGTCGAGCTAGAACTCCGATATGTTGTCGATCTCTCGGATTTTTAAACAGAACTATGTACTGACTATTTAAACTCATTGTTCGATTTTCTTTTCCTTTGTTGAATAAATTCTGCATGATACAAATTACGCTTAGGTTGCGAGCCTCCGTAAACAGCTCGCAGATCTCCTTGTCCTGGGTTGCATCCTTCATCATGTCGTCAATGATCAAAAGAGTTCTTTCCCTGGGGTTGATAACTGTATCTGATTTAATATCCTCTGTGATGCCTTCAATAAATATTATACCTGGAATCCAGTACTTTAGTTCATCATATAGGGGTTGCCATCGCTCATAAATCCATAAGATTTTCTCTGGTACTGGGCTTATGAGTTGATCTTTGTGAATTAATACTTTCTTGATCCATGTGGATTTTCCTGACATAGTTGGTCCTGCGATAATCATCGTGAAGGGATGGATAAATTTGAACCTCTGAAAATCTGATGTCTCTTCTGGGTGACGTAAGTCCTGAGGAGGAGGAGGCAATTCCTGAGGAGGAGGAGGAGGTAATTCCGGAGGAGGAGGAGGTAATTCCTAAGGAGGAGGAGGAGGAGGTAATTTCTGAGGAGGAGGAGGATACGCTTCATTGATCCGAGGATATGGTTGGTTTGTTCCATGAGCCATACGTTCATGCCTCCTCATGCTATCGTACCTGGAAAATGTTCGCTGGCAAACAGAACACGATGTTGACCGCATGACTGTCTTGGAAAGAATGAATAAAACTTCAATTTGGCCTCTTATATATCCTGTAATTCATCCTTATTAACCCAGGAATTAAATTTTCTGGGATATCCTTGCCATTTAACCAACACTTCCGTCTGACCTCTGCGCTTGCGTCTTTTTAGTACTTTCTCTATTTTCCACAAGTCGTCTCTTGTTTTGTTAACCCTCTGCAATTCTGCTTCATAAAAAGTTCCGTCAATAGGATCTTTACTGTAATCCACGACTTTGTATACAGGTATACCTTGACGTAAAAATCTTCTGTTGACAATAAAGACTTCCTCGGTCCATTTTTGTTCGTAGTCTCTCTGGAAAGTGTGCTTTATTCCCGACAATCTGACATAGTCACCCACTTTAAATTTGAATCGTTTATGTGGTTTATAATTTTTCTTTCGTACCACAGTGGGTTTCAACACATCCACATACAGTTTCTTCCACAGGATATCTTCATTTGTTTTGTTCACATCGCTTGGAGATAGACCATTCAGGGACCTGTGCGGTCGGTTGTTATAATTTCGAACGATGTCTTGTAAAATTTCAACGTATCTGTATGTGCGATTATGTGTGAAGTAGCGATACATCATGACTTTCAATGTCCTGATGAACCTCTCTGCATAATTAGCATGGGTGACATTTTGCGTGACGAAATAATGTACGTCTTTCCTCTTCAGATACTGCTTGGTCCATCTATTGATCCACTCTGATCCTTTATCCGTCCGCAGTCCAGAAGGAATTCTACCTTCTTCAAATATATCTTTCAGAGCATCGATTATACTTTCATGTTTCTTATTCTTCAAAGGTCTAACCCAAGCATATCGAGAAAAATCATCAATTGTAACAAACAGAAATTTCAAGTCGTCATTTTCTTTGGAAATGGAACTTACATCTGCTAAATCTGCGTCCCAAAGAAAGTATATTCCTTGAGAAATCACTCTGTTTTGATCTTGTACCTCTGCGGACGCTGGAGACTGTAAGCATCGATGTCTTGAAGCCATTGCTTTATGGCTGACAACCCAACTTTATATTTTCCCTCTTTTTTGAGATAACGATAAATCTTTGTTGGACCCGAATAGCTTACGGGGTTTTCCAAATCGAAGTAAATAGATTTTAAATGTTCTTTCCACTCCATGATTTTTGTAAACACTGTAAGAATGATATAGAGAACGTCTCTTATATATATACTCTTTGGGATATAGACTGGGTTTTTCCCATTTAAATATTTATAGCAGATGTTTTTACTTGTACATAGACAATACGATCAGACAGGTAAATAAATGTTCTATCTACAAATCGAAGCCACTCATTTACGGAATACATTTTAAAGCATATCTAAAAATAGATATTGCACCACAGGTATATCGATCACAGGGAAAATCCACTTTCTAAAAATACACCGCGTCCCTCGATTCCGTCCCTCGTCCCTCATGGCGCAGAACTGTCATTTCCTATTCATCACTTCTCTGCCATCGCTGTTAACTAACAAGCTAATATTTTACGTCACAAATCGGTTTCTCATTATTTCGCCCCTTGTTAATTTGACTCTTTTGTGTAAATGTGCTATTCAAAAGAATTCATAAACAAATTAAAAAATCAAACATTATTGTTTTATTCTTTGTTTTAATAAAAATGCACTTCATTGATTTAATAAAAATGCACTTCAAATTACAATTAAAAGCAAAATATATGTACATGTATTTCCGTCTGTGCCAATGCCTCCCTTAATTCCATATGACACTGGCCTTCCCTCTAATGTTTTAACAATTGCCTCTTCCCCGAGAGTTAGAGAGGGAGGTGCTGCTTTATGTTGTCTATTTTTTCTTTTGATATTGTAAACTATACTTGTATTAGTTGTATATACACAATATTCACAATTTATTTTTTTTTTGTAATCAAAATATACATTCACAGCATTATCAAAAAGGGTGGACAATAAAGCTTTTATTTCAATAAAAAAAAGTTTTATAACTTAGTAAAAGCATTCTCAGTAAAAAAAATATTTTATATATCACCGGTGTCAGTACCTCTCTGCTTCTAACTGAAATACTTCTTTTAACTTCCTCTACATTTTATGTTATAAAATTTATTGTATCTTTATTTGATTCTTTTTAAGTTCTTTATGTTATGATAAATAATAATAAGTTAGGTACATGTAGAATATAAAGGTCAATGATCGAATATCTCTCTGCTTCAAATTAAAGTAATTCTTTTTGACTTCAGCTGTATCTCTTTTAGTTGTGCTAAATTGCCTAGTATAATACAAAAACATTACAGATATCATAAACTTATTTTCTGATCAAACATTAATGATACCCCCCCCCCCCCCTTTGATATATTGTCTAGCTGCGACTTAACATAAAATAATATATCCACAAGTGCAAAAACAAAAAATTTGAATGTTGTATGTTGAAAATCAATTTTAATAGTACAGTGAACTGTGAATGCCCTTTGGAAAAATCACATCTATATACTCAAAATCGGACGTCTGTGAAAACTGTTGGTAAACAACTACCTCGTGGCACTTAACCAGCTGGTGACCTATACTGATAAACTAATATGTTTAACGTGTCACTTTTCAGTGTAATTAGACAACTTAATTAATACTTGCGAATTTAAGATGCCGCTAATTTCTCCCCATCCTTCTCTCCGTGAAGCCGACTTTTTCTTCGTTCCCACCCCATTAATCTCCCCAAATAAATCACCTCCCTCTCCACAACGCATTGAATTAACACAATTCCTCATTTTCGGTCCA